CACACACACACACACACACACACACACACACACACACACACACACACTCCTCCCCATCTGGGACTGGTATTCACTCAGTGATTTCTGCAGCCAGAGAAGAAAAAAGCTATTGCTCCTTCATTTCAGGGAGGTCTCACATTATTGCTATTCTCACTCTTATGCTCCTGCTACAACCAATGAAACTAGAATCCTCTCACGTCTTTTAAACAATCTTTGATAATCCAACCACCAAGGATTTAGAAGTTTTTCAGGGCCCTTCCAGTAAGAAAATCACTGAAGTTTCCGAGGCCGGGACCACAGGGCCATTTAAATTAGGATGTAGTTAGAATAGAGGATCTAGTAATTAGCATTAAATTTTCAAGGCCACCCTTACCAGCCATGAACTATCACTCTGAGACACGTTTAATGTATGTTTCCTTCTGCCCCAGGAAGAGATACCAAGCCTAGGTTTGAATACTACTCCTGAAATTACTGAGTATGTGACTTGGGCAATGGCTTAACTTCAATGCATCTTATTTCCTCACCTGTAAAATGGAAATGTGTTCTGAAATTGTGAGGATCAAATGAGACAGCTGAAAATGACTAGCACAATATCTTACACTTAACAGGTAGGAACTTATTCAATCTTTCCAGGCCTAACTTTCCTATCTAACATTCTGGTTTCCTTCCTTCCTTTCCTTAAATACTGTCCTTGCTTTTCTTTTGTTTATTTCCTCTACCTCTTATTTTCCCTTCTTTGTTCTCTCTCTCTGTTTCTCCCACTCCCAGATCATCAGGTAGCCTTCTTGTCACAATTTCTTAGTGAATTCTAATCCAGAGCTCCTGAGGATCTCAACTATCTGTTACTAACTCTTCCCAAGAACTTTCTCAGGAAGTTTAGGATAACCAATAGAAATATAATACAGGGAGTCTAGACCTGGTATTCTATGGCCCTGAGATAAATAACTGCATTAGACACTGTAAATCATAGTTACCTGCACAAAGTTAAAGGAAAAGCTGCCAATATTTTATGTTGTTCAAGAGCTAAAAAAGAAAGTATAAAATCTGTGAAATCTTGATTTATAAAATAAAATTACATCAAATCTGAGCTATTTAACAAGGAAATATTAACAATATGATTAATAAATACATGCAAATAATTAATAACTGATTAGTATGTTTAAAATTAATGTAATGCCTGTAGTCCTAGCTTTTCTAAAGGTTGAGGTAGGAGGACCACTTAAGCTCAGGAGTTCGAGGCTTCAGTGACCTATGATTGAGCTACTGAGCTCCAGCCTGGGTGACACAGCAAGATCCTGTCTCTAAAAATATAAATTTTTAAATTTTAGAAAGGAGAAAAAGGTTAAAAATATTTACTATAATGCCAGTCTTGATCCCTCATGGTTCACAGGGTATTATCTTCTGCTGCAACTTAAAACAATTGGAAGAAATTTTAGTTACAATGTCTGACCTCTATCCTGGCTCTAACACCAGCTCTCTTTGTCACCCGGAATTAATACTTTAATGTCTTTGGCCCTCGATTCCCTCATTTATAAAAGGAGGAAATTGAGTTTATAATCCAAATGGACCTTTATGCCCATGAATTCAATAGAATCATTCATTCTTGCTTCTTCTTTGAAAGAATAAGATAATGACAGTGTGTGCTACACAGCATTCCATTAAATAATCATTGATCCACAGGGCCCTTGCTTGTAATTATTGGGCATGTAATGATAGTCTAGCATCTCTTCTTTTTTCAGAATATCCACATGATAACACAAAACATCAACATCAATTACTCCCTGGAAACTCTACCTGCCTTCTTAGTGCTCATTATCCACACTCAAATGAAAATCAATGATATCTGTGAGTAAACATCCCTTTGGTTTATTTCTAATTTCTATCAAAATAGATATATATAAAAAAGAGGTAAAGTGATAACTATTTGATATTCAACCTTCTGTCAGGAATTATTCATGCCAATTAACTAGAATGCTCAGGTGTTCCATTTATTTTAAAACACTCATTTTCTAGCCCAGTAGGCTTAGAATTTCAGGAAACAGTGTTTGTATTCTACTAAGCTCAAGTAAAGTTATACTTGTTCATATCTTTCTAAGAAATGTTATTTCTTAGAAATAACATCATGTGTTCACTTGTTCAGCGTTTAATGATTATCTATGACTGTGTTAAGAGTTAATAACACCTAGGTGATAAAGACAAATTGTCTGCCCTCTGGAAGCACATGGTTCAGTAATAGAAGCAGATAAATACGCAAGTCCTGACAATTCAATTTGATAATAGACATGTGAACGAAGTAGAGTGAGAAGTGTCTGAATGCCTAGAAATTATTCACAAAAAACTGACTAGCACAGTGCCTGGC